GGGGGAGGTGGTGGGACAGAGGGTGGTACTGTGGTAACAGATGTGCTAGAATCTAAATCATCTACAGAAATAAGGAAAAATCCATTTTAATCCTGATGGCAACAGGCAAATAAAATTTTTTATATCATGTTAAGGACTTTTGTATACCTGAAAACAATATCCTTAAAAAGAATCTCAGTTATGTAAGTAAAAAGGAAGTTTCGGTTACTTGGTTAAAATCTAAATGCCTGAATCTCAGTCACTGTATCATTTAATCCCAAACTCTCCAGATGGAAAAGTTCCATTTAACTTAACAGGAGTGTTTTTGTGATATCAAATGTTTAAGCCTGACTGTGGCACAGTTTGTAACTACTTTTAGAAGAAATATAAAGTAGTCTGTGCTGCATAAATAACTATCTTCATTACATTCAGTTAGGTAATTTAGTACTATGATAAGTTTTAAAAAACTACTGGATAAATTTGTGGTTCCTTTTAAGTACATTATTCACATAAAAGATATTCTAAGCATTATACACCTGCAATGACTAGAATATGTTTGAAAGAAAAGATTTCTGAAATAGAAAAAAGGTATTATACTTAAGTTAACTAAGATAAGAGGTAAAGTGGTTATATAATAATGACCTAAAAACTCATCTTTCTGCATAATTGGAGGTTAGAGTTTCCTGTTGGGTGAACTACATTGATTAGGGGATGCAAAAAAGTTTCACTCAAGGGTTTAGATTATAAACAGAACACCAACAATAAATCCCCAAATTATCTATTTATGGCACTTTTTCCTACTCTGCCAAGAGAGGGAGGTAAAGCAAAAGAGAACTGCAAGTTAAAGTCAGAAGGACAGGATGCTTGGTTTTTAAAGTTACACGCAAACTTCACTTAACACTTATTACTCCTCAAGCATTTGGTGCCCAGAGTGCATTCGCCCTCTGCCCACCTTGGCTCTAACCAGCCTGGATAACATTAAACTCCAGGAGCACAAGCCAAGTGGCCCAGAGGCAGAGTTGTGTAATCCTGAGTCTATCCAGGACTCAGGAACAACACTAGGAAAAACAACTGCTACTTGCCAACAGGTTAATGGACTAGGATTTCAAGGCTATGGTTTCTTCTCCAAAGTGACAATGCCCCACAAATAAAAGCAAGAGTATTTGACCAGGAGTCAGAGGACCTGAATTCAGTTTCTACTCTGGGCAAGAGAAAATGACTATTAAGTAGCTACTACTTTTTTTTTTTTTTTAAATATATCTTGATTGATTTCAGAGAGAGGAAAGGGGGGGCGGAGAGAGAAACAATGACGAGTGTCATTGATTGGCTGCCTCCTGCATNAGGGGGGGAGAGAGAGAGAAACAATGACGAGTGTCATTGATTGGCTGCCTCCTGCATGCCCACAACCCAGGCATGTGCCCTGACCGGGAATTGAACCTCAATCGCCTAGATCCTAGGTCGACGCTCAACCGCTGAGCCACGCCTGGCTGGGCTAAAGGTATTTTATATCATTTCCACATTTTCTCCCATGGTAACTCCATAAAACAGGTACTGTTAGTTCCATTTTAGAGCAGGAAAGGGAGGTAGAAAGGTCAAGTACTTGCCTCAAGACTTCCAGGTAAAAAAGTAGCACTCAGCCCTGTCAGGGCTATTTTGAGATGGTCCCATTAAGTTCCCCATAGCATTCACCTAGGTAGTAAGTAGTAATTCAAGTACCGAAATTTCAATGTTTTCCAGATATACCTACCTGTCATCCTCTCTGATAGCACCAAGATTGTTCAAAACAAGCTAAAACCACTTAAACTTGATTGGGTCCTGGACTATGTAGAGGACTGGCTTGGTTTATAGCTGTTACTTGCCAATAAATTTTAAAATTTGTGACATTCTCCTGATTTCCAGTTTGCTGATTATAACAAATGTAGGATTTACAGACCTGCAGTAAGATTTTGCTGTTCTTGCAGGGTCACAATTTTGGCAATCTGAGCTCTGAGAGCAGCAAGTTCATTTTCAAGAGCACAGATCTTCTGTAGTGCTTCCTCATTTGCCAGTGGTGTCCTCAGTGGAGGCTCTTCTGGAGACAAGTTTGGTAAGGAAAACTGCCTGCTTGGGGGCTTCTCAAAGAAAAAAAGGTCATCCTGAAGGGGTTGCCTTGGCCTGACCTCTGTCCTGCAAGGAAGATAGAAGGTTGGCTGTCACAGGCTTTGTAAGAAAATATCAAAACATCTGAGAACCACGTTTCAGGCTGACCTTACATAGATCCCCTCCTATAAGTTTTNATTTTTTAAATGCAAATTAATCAGAAAATATCAAAACATCTGAGAACCACGTTTCAGGCTGACCTTACATAGATCCCCTCCTATAAGTTTTAAAACAACAAAGTACTTGTGGACCTAATGTAGACACATACCAGGCCTGGGTTTCTTGTTGCCATCATTCTTCTGAACCTCTAGATGATATGCACAAGGCATCACAGATTCCAACAATGTTTTTGCTAATTCATGTTTTGTTTTTATTTGAACTAAGTGAAGACACATTTTAATACTCTTTAAAAGGGTAAGCTAATTACTAGTTGTATTTCCAAAATCAAGTTAGTAATGCGTTAACCCTTCCCCAGGTTCTTGGCTTCTGCATCTCAGTGTATTTCCTATATGGTAGAGTACATCAAATTGCAAGACATGCTGTAACAATATGGGCCAAATACAGCATCAGAAACTGAAAAGGAAAAAAAAACATTATAATTGAATCCATTCAGTAACTACATGGTAACTAAGTAGTCACTTGGGTGTAAAAAATTTAATGTGCAGTGCTCCACAGCTCCAGATAGGAGTTTTTTGGGGTTGAGAATAAAATTCAGATTTCTTTTGAACTGTCAATTATATGCTTATCCATTTTTTCCTATTTTATACAATTAGGTTTTCCTGGCTTCTAAGGCTTTTTTTTAATCCTCACCTGAGGATATACTTATTAATTTTAGAAAGAGGGGAATGGGAAGAGAGAAACATCGATGTGAGAGAGATCAATTGGTTGCCTTCTGTACGTGCCCCAAATTGGGGATCAAACCCGCAGCCTTTCAGTTTACAGGATGACACCCCAACCAACTGAGCCACAGTGGCCAGGGTGCCCTTTTCCTTTTTTCCTTCCAGCTTTACTGAGGTATAATTGACAACTAAATAGTGTACATATTTAAAGTACACATTTTGAAATACTCGCCAGGGTCAAGTTAACATATCCCAGCTTCCGGCAGTTTCATGTGGTCATGTGACTGAGTTTTGGCTAAGATGTAGGCACACTGCTGAGCCATCCATCTAGACAGGCTGCTGAAAGGGTGAGGACTCCACAAAAACGTCCTCTCATCTCTAGCCTCACCCCTCCTCCTCCTGAGAGCACTGAGTGCATGGTGATGACTGAGTCATACAGGGCCAGCAGCTAACCTTGACATGGAAGCCAACACTGAGGAGGGCAGAGAGCCTGGCTGGATCCCTGAGGACACTGTGNAGAGCCTGGCTAGAGCCTGGCTGGATCCCTGAGGACACTGTGGAGCTACTGTCAGCCCCAGAGTATCTACTTAGGCTGTTTTTTATTTGAGAGAGAAATAAACTACACTGAGAGGAAAATACACTCCTATCCTGTTGAAGTTGCCATTATTTTAGGCTTCTATGTTATATGTAGTCAAACTAATACTAACATTAAATTCCATTTTAGTTTTCCTTTAACTGGATATTGTTATTTTACTTTTGCTTGAGAGCTGTGATAATTCTAACTATGTTTTGAATGGGGGCATTCCTGGATTCTTAGCTTTTGATATTATGCACTGAATTCAGGTATTTTCCTTTATATCTAACTTCTGTTCATGCCCTGTTAATTGAATTACCATACACAGAAGATGCTTACAAATTGTTTTTTACCTGTAACATTATCAAACAATTATAACGTCGTAGTTCTTGCCTAGTAACCAATGTTAACAATACTATATTTTATTTGGAGTATGAGTGGGATAGGGAAATGTGTTTGGCTTGCAAAGCTGCAATTACCACTTTCTTATACCGACAAGGGGAAGGAACAGGTGATGAAATTTCTTTAAAAGTACATGAAGATTAAACAAAGGTAAAAACATCTGTAAGGAATAGTACCAATGTTCTGATTAAATATATATATTCTTTGAAAAATTATATAAGTTACAGATTACATGCAATGTGCTCTAATCAACCTACAATAAAGAAATAATAAGACATTAAAATTTTGAAAAAAATCACTGTGGCTCTTTGTTGATAAAATAGGCTAAATTCTGATTTTTACCTACCTTTCATAAAGTTGGTCAAATAATTTTGTTGAACAGCTCTATACAATAAACACATTAAATTAGAATGTTCTTGATAACTTTGTCTTTAACAAAAAACTACTTCCTGAAAGAACTAGGGGAACTGCAGATAGGTAGAGTGATAATGACAGAACCTAGTCTTAACAATCTGGGTAAAAACAGAAAGCTCAAATGTAGAATTAAAACACCCTTAGTTCAAAACAAGTGTCAAGGAAGAAACCAGTCAGAAGCAGAGTATTCTCAAGACTGAGGATGGACACCACCGCCATGAGCACCAGAGGTAAGGGGCACCTGGAGGGATCACAACTGGATGGAAGTGGAACTGAGCAGAGAGGAGAGGAACACGGAACACGGAACACAGAACCTGTGGATAAAGACTCGTCTCTGCCCCACCGTCTTTCATGTTCACATGCCTAAAATAATATATTCACATCTGAGAGTGGAAGTGATGGCTTGTTTTTAACAACAAATCAAGTCAAATTTTGGATAGTAGAATCTTCAGTGCTANACGGAACACGGAACACAGAACCTGTGGATAAAGACTCGTCTCTGCCCCACCGTCTTTCATGTTCACATGCCTAAAATAATATATTCACATCTGAGAGTGGAAGTGATGGCTTGTTTTTAACAACAAATCAAGTCAAATTTTGGATAGTAGAATCTTCAGTGCTACTAAACAAAAGTTACAATACTGTTATTCAAGAACTAGTGGTCACTTTAGTAGAGAGCATTCCCCTAGACATCACAGACATTATAGGGACCTAAAGTATTAAACACTTATAAGTTTGTTTTTAACTGTTCTCATTCAAGTAAGATAATCTTCAAATCCCATGAACATTTACTGTAAAATATCCAAAACTGGAACAAGGTAACAAGACAATTTGGATTAAGATCAACTACAAGGCATGTGTGAACATCATACTCTCTTTAAACTATCTTCTATCCAAAATAAATTGTATGAGAAAATGAGTATTGAACTACAATGTTAAAAAAAAAGACTCTTCTACATCGCCCCGTTACTCTTACAGGTGAATTTTATCCTGTTTTTCCATCTACTGAAAAATAAGGACAAAGCACTCATCAATCTGGAATACCAGTGTCCCCGAGTAAGAGAGAAAAAGCCATTAGCAAAATGATTTAAGCAGCAGTGTCAGATCACCTGTATTTTATATCTATACTATTTTTATAAATGATCGTGTCGATTCTGCATTTCTCTATGTGAAATACTGTCGATAGTTATAGGTTCAAACAAAGCAATTATAGAAAATGTAGAAGTTTAAATGTGTATTTTTAGAAGCTGAAAAAGTAATCCTGAAATGATCATGTCTTCTCAAAAGACACAAAGAAATCCACATTTATTAGAGCCTGAAAAACCAAAAAGAAGAGTTGCTCTGTAATGTTCTTCCCTTGTGTATGAAAAAGTTTAGATTTTATGAACATTTTCACACAGACTCCTTCCTTTAAAAACACACACACCCTTCCCACAGACATCTGTTCTATACGACAATCAACAAATTATTCTCAGAACCAATCTCTTTTGTCATCCTTCAAAATAGGGGGCTATTGAGAGCTGGAATACAGAGGCAGATTAATCTGAACTAAGAAATGCTCTTCAGATATTTTTGTATGTAATTCAGAGAAATTTTAAAGAAGCAAAACAAATATAAAAACAAAAAGAGGTATCAAGTATGGATGTACCCAAAGCAGGAGACAGAACAGCCAAAATATGATTGATTTAACTTTTTTCTTCCCTGGCCAATGTGGCTCAGTGGTTAGACCATCAGCCCACACACTGAAGGGTCTCTCAATGTTTCTCTCTGAAAACAGAAAGAGAAAAGGGAGGAGGGGGTGGGAAGCCAAACTAAAGCCCTAACAGAATTACATAAATGTAAATGGTTTACATATACCAATTAAAGGACAGACTGCCAGAGTGGATTAAAAAAATATGACCCAACTGTCTACAAGAAACTCAGCTTAAATATAATAATATATGCAGGGTGAATGTAAATAAAAGAAGATATATTATGCAAACAACCAAAAGAAAAACGCTGTGTCTATAATGTAGGCTTAAGAGCAAAGAAAGTTATCAGGGACAGAGAGAGGGACACTGTATAACAGTAAAATGATAAAAGCCACAGCAATCCTAAATGTGTATGCACCAAACAACAGACCTCCAGAATATGAAAGGCAAAAACTGGTAGGACAGAAAGGAGAAATATACAAATATATGTAATATAGTTGAAGACAACACCACCCCACTTTTAACAATTTTTAGAATAGAAAATCGGGAATACAGAACTCATTGCAGGATCTAATTGATATTCATAAAACGTAACATTAACAGAAAATACATTCTTTTCAAGTGCCCACATAATATATTCCAAAATGGCCCAGGGTATGGCCATTTAAAAAACCTCAAGTTTAAAAGAATGGAAATACACAGTGTATGTTCTCTGACCACAACAGAATCAAACTGGAAATCAATAACAGAAAGATAACAGAAAGATAACAGAAAGATGACAAAAAAATTTCCAAACATTTAGAAAGTAAACCACAAACTTTTAATTATCCCTGGGCCAAAGATGTCAAGGGAAATTTTAAAAATACAATTAACTGGATAAAAATTAAAAAACAACATATCAAAACTTGTGGGACACAGCTAAAGTAATGTTGAGGGAAATTTACAGCACTAAGTGTTTATAACAAAAAAGAAAGGGTTTCTAATAGTGTAAGCTCTCACCTAAAAAAAACAGATGAAGAGCAAAATAAACTAAGCAAGCAAAGGGAAAAAAATAATAAAGAGAAGAAATCAGTAAAATTAAACAGAAAAACAGGAAAAAAATGAAATAGAGAACTGGTTCTTTAAAAAGATTACAGACCTTTCAGTCACTGAAAGGATAATGAGGGAATACAGTAAGTTCTCATTTAATATCCTCAATGGGTTTTTGGAAACTAACTTTAAGCAAAAGGCCATATAACAAAACCTATAATTAACCATAAGCTAATTGATATAAACAAGGGTTAAGTTCCTATGGCACAGTTCTGGTCACAAAAACATCACCTAAAAACCCCCAAAACTTCTAATATTAAACACTGAAATACATGTGAGGTATAAATATTTAAGAAAGATTGATAAAAACAAGTAAAATAATTTTTCCAACTTGCTTATTCCAGTTCAGGGTCAAGAAGGGCAGGAGTCTATCTTGGCAGCTCAAGGTACAAAACAAACCAATCCTGGACAGGACACCATTCCAGGGCACACTTACACTCGCCTCACTCACACTGGTACAGTTTAGACATGTCTAACCTAACGTGCACGTGAGGAAATCGGAGTACATGGAGGAAACACATGCACACACAGGGAAGATGTGCAAACTCCACACAGACAGTCGTCCTGCTGGGAACTGATTTTTTCTTCTCATCAGCATTGAAACAGAATAACATTATTCAAGGACCTGCAGTGCTAAGAACATTAAAACACACATAAATCTTACCATATAGATGAAATGGACCAATTCCTTAAAAAGCAGAAACTAATCTTATCCAATGTCAAAGTGATAAAATAGTCCAATAACTTTAATAAGAAAACTGAACTCGTAATTTTAAAACTCCCCAAAAGAAATCTCCAGGCCCAGACAGTTTCACCGGAGAATTCTACCAAACGTAAAGAATACATACCAGTTCTACACAATCTGTTCAGAAAATAAAGAGGAACACCTTCCAATTCATTTTATGAAGCTAATATTACCCTGATACCAAACCAGACAAAGGATCACGTACTAAAAAACAACAGCAACAGTACCAGGAGAAAATATGCAGGATCTAAGGCTGGGCACAGGGTTCTTACACTGACACCAAAAGCATCATCCAATAAAGGAAAAGTGGATGAAGTAGAGTTTATTGAAATAAAAAACTTTTGCTCTGTGAATGACTGTTAATGCGAAATGTCAACCCTTACTCTAAACTTTCCCTGTTCAGAGCATCAGATGAAGACTTCATTGGGTTTTATAGTGGCTTTCTGATTTTGGTAGTTCATTGAAGAAGGGAGTTTGAAAGTTGTTGTATACTGTTAACGATTGTCTGCCCATGTCCTGCCTGAAATACTGTGATTGTTTATGAAAAGTATCTTTAATAAAGCTGGATACAGTTTGAAAAATAAAATAAAATACAAATTTGATAATACTGTGGTGCTTAAAAATCTTCCATGGCTCCACAATGCTTTCAGGAAAAAGTCTATACACTTTTTAGCTTAACATGTTCAACCTTTAAACTTCTACCTACTTTTCATAATCATTTCCTACAGCTTACCCTTTTCTGCTACTCCCTAGCCTCACTGAGACATTTGGAGTTTCCTAAACATGCCACTTGGCATCCTAATTAAAACCTTTAACATCCCCTTCTTTGGGAAGCCTTGCCAAAGCTCTCTCATCCCACAGTGGCCTTCTGTATAGTATCAATATTAACCGTTTCCTTTCTAATCTCCTCTTGCACACCAAGTAATCCTAGAAAACTAAGACTATATCCTATTTTATCTCTGTATCCTCAATGCCTAGTAAGAATGAAGAGTTGAATAGGTTGAATAACTGTTTATTAGATTGATGCATAGTAATAATTTATTCAGGCTCTTTCAAATAAATGGAAGTCTCTCTCTAACTTTTACATATTGTTTCCTTTGAATCACAACTCACTTTGATTCAGAAATTTTAGGAATCATTCTCCAATGATTACACAAATTCCCTAATATAACCCACACTGATTTTTCTACACCAATAATGCCATTTTAATACTATACTTATATGAACATACTAATAACAGTTCTTTCTGGTTTCTCATATTAGAACTTCTAAAAGGCAGAGAATTCTGTAATTCTTAAGGATACAATAGTTATATGTCTCTAGGAACTTTATCAATACTGAGTCTTTAAACAGAAAAGATGACTGCTAAAAAACAACTGGGTTAATTACTAGAGATCAAATTCACCTATTAAAAGGAAATACTGCAAAGGTAACATCTTTTAAAATAATAAATATCCCATCTCAGCTCTCACAGGTTCTAGACTGACCTGCGTCTTGTTGAGCACTCTCCTTCTTCTTCGGCTACCCATCCAATGTCAGCAAAAGATGCCACTGCATCCTCTCCTGGGTGACTGGGGCTCCATTCTGTTGTAGGGCTGGTAAGCTATAAGTTATAAATAGGGAAAGAGTGTCATCTGGCACCAAAATATTAGAATAAAACTTTTTAATGACCTAAATAAGAACCATCTACTTTAGTCTTACAAACATACAGGGAGTTTCATTTCCATTAAAGGTCCCCATGAAAGGGACCATTAGTTACATCATATGTTGCCTAATAATGTATGACAGCCTCTGAATTAGAATTTAACTTTATTCAATTTTTATTTTATAGGTCAAATGAGATTGATTAAAAAAAAAAAAGTTCTGGTCATCCTAAAATATTAAGAAAATTTTTTCTGAAGAAATCTGGTTTAAAAAAAAAAAGTATAGGAACAAGAACAAGTGACCAATTTGNAGTTCTGGTCATCCTAAAACATTAAGAAAATTTTTTCTGAAGAAATCTGGTTTAAAAAAAAAAAAGTATAGGAACAAGAACAAGTGACCAATTTGTGCTAAATCTGGGAATATTTTTATATTTCTAAATGGATATTTGTAGATATACTGTTATAATGTTGAAAACAAATTTTTAAAAAATCCTTAAATTTTATGATTTTTAAATAAAAGTACTATGTTAAGAAGTAAAAAATACAAATAGCAGAACAGAATTCTCTAGCTCTACCTTAAAAACAAAGGAACAGAGTATTTTGAAATACACAAAGAAAAAGCATGCAAGTTCTGACATTTACCTTGAAAAAATGGAAATATGAGTTAATTGAATTAAATTTTTGTTCTAATGCCTCAGAGCCAGATGGTCAATGGATAACAATTTAAAAATAAAGTTATCAGATTAATATAACACTTCCAACAAGTTGGAATGAGGTTTAAATGAAAAAGAAAATGAAGACTTTTTAAATTAAAATAATTTAAAAGGCCAGAGATATTTATTTAAATTAATGTATTTATCAAAAAGGTTGTACCATAACCCATGCTTTGTTTGTACCTTAATGTTGTCACTGCCAGATCAAGCTTTTGGAAGTTACACTTAAATAATGCTTCTTCCTCAAATGTAAAGCATATCACGCAAACATATAATACTAATAGTTTTAAATCTAAGATATCTTTAATATTACAAAATTTTAAGTAAACATATTAGTTGTTGGTATGTATGTTTACCTATTATGTATAAGTACTTAACATTATCAACTTTTAATAAAGGAGCATTAGAAAACTGACATTTTAACATATAACATACTAAGAACATCAAGTACTTAAAATGCCTTAAATTGGCTTTTGGGGAGGGTGGGGGTACAGGTAAGAGAGAAAACAATTGTTTTAAAGAGATTCAAGAACCTAATCCTGAGCAAAAAACAAAAACAACTAATAATGGAATTAAGATGAAAAGGCTTTCAAAATACCAATGTTCTGCATGCCCCACAAAGGTTAACATACTACTATATGTTCTTTTTTGTTTGTTTTAATCCATCGATCAGTTGCTTTCAGTACGTGCTCCAACCCAGAAGCAAACCTGCAACTTAATCAAACCTGCCACCTTTTGGAGTATGAAACAACACTCCAACCAACTGAGCCGCATCAGCCAGGGCTGATGGCTGGTTTTAATACCTCTGGTAATGGATATAACCTGACCAAAACAGTAATTAAAATATTGCCACAAGACATAATTTTTAGAATTTGTGTTAAAATGTCATTGTATATATATATATATATACTTCATAAGCCTTACTGAGATGACAAACCCCATCATCTGCTGGTTGGTCCCTGTGGTATATGGTTATGGCTTCTATTCAGAGTAATAACTTGCAAAGATTTAAAAAAAAACACAAATAAACCTCTTTCAGTTGTTGCTGAAATGTACACTGAGTGACATAAGCATGGAATGGGAAGGACAACTCAATTAGTAAAGTACCAGTTAAGGTGACGTCAGGACAGGCAAGAGGACTGACAATATGTAATTTCTGAAGTACAATTTAGACACCACTACTGACATGCATGGATGACTGATGGGAAGTTTGAAAAAGAAAAGGCCAACTTACTGAAGGTTCCAGCAAGGTCCTGTCCTATCATGGCTATTGTTAGTAGGGGGAAAAAAAACAACACAACAGCAAGAGGAATAGAATTTACTTTTAAATTAAGGGCATTATAAAATTTTAAATTAAATTTAGTGCTTATTGATCTATAATTATCCAAATTCCTTTCAGAACGTGTGGAAAAGCATTTCATTCAGCAGTAGTTTGTATTTTTACTATTTAAGTAGTTCAGCTGAACATCTTAGACAGTTTAAATAATTTAAAATCCAATTATATTTCAAAAATTTTACTGAGGTAATTTCAGATAATTTAAAATATTCTGACAATGTAAACCTACACTAAGGAAATTCATTTAATAAAATGAAAAGAAATATACAAAAGTTCAAATACTTAGAATGAAATATTAAAAGTTAACTTTGTCCACATGTGACTCCTCATAAAATAAACACACTAGTACTAGAATGTTGTTTCATAGTAAATAAATTCAGTCTGTTTTACCATTTGTTTATAGCCAAATACAAAACATGTATTCTTAAAATGAACACTAATAATCTCTAGCTTTTTTTTTCAAGAATTATTCCCCCCCCCACCAATTCCTACCATAGTAAAAACTAAAAACAGAAATTCTGTATTTTAATATGATGAATACAGTAACACCAGTAGGCCAAGAGGTGTACCTGTGTAAAGAACAATAACCTGAACACTCAGCCACTGATATTTCTGAGTATTAATGCTTTCTATTCACGACACACCTACAATGGGGGAGGAGGGGGGTTAAGAGGAAAAGGGAGAAGGAAAGGGACCAGAGAGATAAGAGGGAGGAAAATGTGTGTGTGTGTGTCTCTCAAAGTAACCTAGGAAGAAACAGCATGCCTGGGTTCAACTGTGATTCCCCAATTCCAGACTTTCAGTAATAGTATTTACTCTTGTTGAACTCCTAGACAGTTCAAATACATTCCACATCAATCAAGGCCCCCCAAATATGCCAGAAAAATAGCAAAACTGCACTTTCAATTTTATTACTCTAAACTGCATCCTTTACATTTTTTAAAGACTCTACATTTTTAATATTTCTGATAAATGTATTAAAAAATAGAAAATACATTGTAAAAATAGCATATCTATAATATATAAGTAGCAGATAAAATACCCACTTTAATACTGATGCTTAATTTGAAAAGACTCAGTATGCTACAAAACTGCCTGGAAGTCTCACTATAAACAAATGTCTTCTGTCTTCCACTACATTCTCAAATAAGTGACCAATATTTCTCTTACTTTACTCCTCTCCTTATGTTAATCCATCTCTTTTCAAATGCAGCTCCAGTANTACATTCCACTACATTCTCAAATAAGTGACCAATATTTCTCTTACTTTACTCCTNAACAAATGTCTTCTGTCTTCCACTACATTCTCAAATAAGTGACCAATATTTCTCTTACTTTACTCCTCTCCTTATGTTAATCCATCTCTTTTCAAATGCAGCTCCAGTACTAAATCTAATAGTCTTATTCTACTCATACCCTTTTAAGTGACTGAGAAAGTGTTATTTCCTTCCAAGGAAATGTATTTGTCTGTAGTACTTCAGCCCACTGTCAAGGCAGATTTGTGTTGCTACCAGAAAATCCTAGATTATCTCCATGTCTCCTGTTACATGTCTCTAGCTACATGAACAAAAATGTTGAAGCAAATTCTTCTGTCACTAGTTTAAGTAGATAAATAGATAAAAGAAAATGTTAATGGAACTGAGCAAATCAGGGAAAAAAGTTAACAAGCCTTAGTTAAAAACAATAGTTATCTGAAGGAAGTTAAATGAACTGAAGTCTCAAAAATTATACTGGAGAGACTTAACACCACAGATTTCTTCATTTTGATTATTTTTTAAAGCCTATTGTTTGATAAAAATTACTTCTGAGAAATTTCTAAGCTGTCAGTTTCTAGACTGATGCACAAAGGTTTTGCCAGTCAATTTGTAAGTGGGACTATAGCAAAACAATGGGCAACCTGTTAGTCAAACTGAACAAACAGTAATTGCTACCACTTACAGGATTTTTTTTCCTACCTCTATCTATGACGAAGAGTGATTTATGAGTATGACATAATATCAAATAAGCTCATTGGGGCACTTCTGAACTTTTGAATGATGAGTTAAATTTATCTTTTGCTTTTACATGTTAATTTATTATTTTAAAATTGGTATTTTGTGTATAACTTGTACAGAATTAATGAAAAACAGGAAAAAAAGCTATGTGATGCATGCCTAATAACACTATAACAGCAATAAGGAACAAAAGCCCAAATCAAGAAAATAGCAATTTATCTCCAAGCAAAAAGTAGAGTTGCCCCTGATTTGGTGCTAGAAAAGAATACTAAGACCTGAGCATTCAAAAGTATTCCTAATTCAACCTGTCTTAACACTGTTGTTGCCAAGGCAATAGTTCCCACAATTAATGCTAAGCTTTAAACAAAGGATGGAGAAAGCAACTTTACATGGCATGCACAGAGACATCTAAAAATAAACGAGGGGAAGAGAGTGGCTGTCCAAAGAGGATGGTGTAATAACTAAAGAAAATAATGGTGGTACCTGAAGCTCCTAAAGTAATATAAGGCCTACATTTGAGATCACCTGGGAATTAACAACTGCTTGGCTTACTATGTGCTTCTAAATCCTCACATATGCATTCTTAAGAAGGGTAAATGTCTTAAAAATCTTGAACAATTGCTTCACAGAAGAACTAAGATTAGACTTTACTTTGATTTTTATCCTCTTATTTTTTGATAGTAACCTTAATAGGGGGAAAGGTTCAACAAGTACTAGTAACACTATTTTGCCTATTTATAATTCTAATATAGACATTAATACAAAATTTGAAATATATAGTACCTGAAACTGAACTCTTGGACACTGGATCAGAGATAAATTAGTACCAATTTTCCTTACAATACTTCGAGATGAACCATATGGCTTCCCAGACCAAAGTACCTGAGGAAGTAGGGGGGGAAAAAAAAGTTTAATTACACGACTTATAATACTGTTAATACAAAGCACTGGACAATTAATTGCATAACATGCTGACACATTATAGAATCAGAATGTCCAAATGTTATGGGAAATGAGCTAATATTTCTCAATTTAAAAAGTTAAACAAGAATAAAGATAAAAGAAAAAAATAAAAACAGGAAAAAAAATAAAGACTATACATGGCTGATTACTATTAATGTAAGTTTTACATAAAAATATAGAAAAATAACTAGTAATAGCTACTTTTGCTATAATGGACTTTTCAAAACAAATCCAAATCAGTACAAAGTTCAGAATCTGAATTTGTGTGATGCAGGGTAATGCATTTTGTTTGTTACACAAGAACACCTAGCCAAGGGTGAACAGAGGCCAAAATCCAATTGCAGTCCATTTTCTTGTGAGGTCTTGTCCCCAGGGGAAAGGCCCCTTTTCCTAATTTACAAAAAGGTACTAAATGGGCTAGTGGTGGCCCTAATGAGCAAAATTTCCCAGATGAAATCATAATACACAGAGGACATGCTATGTTATGCTATGCTTTTAAGAACAAAAACGAACCCCAAAAGCAAACAAAAACACACACATGTAGAATGTTAAATCATTACCAATTGTACCTTGAAATTTCTCCCCAAGTATGTGACCTTTCCTTAAAGAGAAAAACTATCCATTTTGAATGAATAAAGAGGAGGTAAAGAGGGGTAGTATGCTATTAAAAGCAATTTAAAAAGAAAAGAATGAAACTGATATGACTATTATACTTCATTCATTAAACTTTAACATTCAATTATATCCTAAAACTAAATAAACTACCAAATAAGCTGAAATATATTCTGAGCAATGGATACCAACCCCTTTTTTAAGTTGCTCCATGGATATTCTAACTTAAAGAATGAAATTACTAATATAAACACTATGACCAAGCAATAAATGTTATTGTAAACAGAGGTGCCTCCAACACATAGTCCAAAGTAGACCTTTAGACCATTCTAAAAGTATGGACAACTCAAAATGAGCATAAAAGCAATGTGACTTCTTAGACTTTAGCAACCAAATCCAACTTAGGGATAACAGTATGGGTTAAAGTGAAGATCATGGGAGAATATATATGATACTTCTGGCATTTGCCTCAACTGTTACATAATTCTCCTCATGATGTTCAAAATTTCACTGTTACCTGGGAGAGTTCCTATAACCTACAACTGGCTATTATAACCAACAAAAACTATAACTCTTGTTTTGGAAATATAAATTAAAAAGATGGTACAGATTGGAAAATTGGNGTAACTCTTGTTTTGGAAATATATAAATTAAAAAGATGGTACAGATTGGAAAATTGGTCAGTAGATAAGANATAACTCTTGTTTTGGAAATATAAATTAAAAAGATGGTACAGATTGGAAAATTGGTCAGTAGATAAGATGGCATCAATATTGAAATATGATTAAACAATAAATATGAGGGCAAAGTTACCCTGACACTTAGAAAGAATTACCTGTAGTTCAGGAACTGAAATTATGCCTATATCAATGTTCATATAGAGGATTATCACAGGAATAGTGTCAATAACACCCAAGGACTAAGAGAAGGAAAAACATCTTACTAAAGGGCAATGGGAAGCATCACAGTTTTACCAAGTTAACATAAGAGGTCAAGAAAAAACAAAAACATGAGCAAGTAATTCTAAAACAGTATTTAAGCAAACTCTTTACCTTATACTTGTTCATAGGTCTTGATTTTTTAAAAATAAATCCAAAGAGCAATAGTATCTATACCTTTCAGTCATTTCTCTAGTCTTCTATTTAGCCACAAAGTTCTATGATATAGGAGGAACAGAATGCTCCTTATGCATCACAATGCGACAACTACACAGTCTAAAGTAAATTTGTCCCTCCAGTAAGCAAAGATCTTAACTGGAGATGAAGAGGACAAAAAACTCACAAAGAAAAATTTAGAAAAGATTTGTCAAGGTCAGGAACTAATGTTTCTACCAGCTTTTAGCATTACTTGCTATGCATGCTTCACGGCTGTTTCAACTATTACCTTTCCATCTGCTTAATATCAGAAGGAAAGAATACAAGGTGTCTTCTGCAAGAGAAGGTGAACAAAGACTGAGCTTTTACTTATAAGAAATAAGTAGACTATTTAGGTTTATACAGAGTTAAAGGAAGTAAAAGAACAGATTGCTTTACATGATTATTTTTTCAAGTACACATAGTAGACTAACAAAATGTTACTTGTGAATTGCATAGCTGTTAGCACCAACAAATATGAAGTGTATATGTAAGCTAATGACTAAAATATTTAGAAAGGAGTAAGAGCCATAACCTTTACTGGATTATAGAAAAAAGTGAGCAGCTAACTTCCAGGAACTCTAAAACTAGGTATTTATTTTTTTCTTTTCAGCCCTCATGGAGGGGAAGAAACTGTTAATGGCTGTGAAGAAATAATGAACAGATGGTATTGAAAAGTCACCATCTGTACCCTGGGAAGCTGTAATGGCCCAAGTGCATCTCCTACCCTAACAGTGGCTGAACTGTCTTGTCAATATACTTGTTTGGAGAAGGAAAGACTTCCTCTAAAGAGAAACTGTCATTACTCTTATTTCAGATGTAAGAGAGAGGGCAGGAAGAAAACTGTCATTACTAGACAATTCAATGCAATTAATAAGAATTCAATTCATTAAGAAGCAATTAAATATAAGAACTGATAAATAACCTAATAATCTTTGTGTGTGTTTGCATGTCTGTCTAGTAATGACAGTCCATAACATTTAGCAACAGTGTTTCAAAGTGATGACAGCAAGGAGGAGGAGGAGGACAGCAAAGCAATTTGGTTTTGTTTTAACACTGTGAAATGCTATTGTGGAAGTGTTGAAGTATGAAGCTGGAATCTGAAGGTGTCATCTGTCTCATCATGATGACTGCACTCAAATTTTAGATGGTAATTCATTTGTTATACACTGGTTTAATCTCCACTATTATTTGAGACGCACCAATTAGCAGGAAAAAGTATAAATTTAATTCTAAACAAAGATATTTTTGTCAATATATGCTATTTACATATAATAATGCAAAGGTTCTTATTCTGGGGTTCACATATCCCTGAAATTACATGCAAAATAGTGTGTATATATACAACATTTTACGGGGAACAACGTCAATACCGTTATCAAATTTTCAGGGAGTCACCCAGCTGGTGTGGCTCAGTGGATTGAGCGTCATCCCATGGATCAAGAGATCCCTGGCTGGATTCCCAGTCAAGGCACGTGCCTGAGGTTGTGGGCTCAATCCCCAGTAGGGGGCGTGCAGGAGGCAGCCCACTGATGATGTTTCTCTCTCATTGATGTTTCTATCTATCCTTCTCCCTTCCTCTCTATCTAAAAAATCAATTAAAAAAAAATTAAAACTTTTTTTTCAGGGAATCTAGGACTCAAGAAGTAAAAATTCTTAATTCCAAGGAAGCCAGGAGAAAATTAAAAGTATGTGCTGAGGAAAGGGGGGTAGAGATAGAAAGATGAAACTCTTCCAACAATTTCAAAATTCTCAACTGAAGATAAAACTTCCTTCAGTTTTTTCCCTTACTCTGAACTCCTAGCCACATTCATTCATTCTTCCAAACAACAAAAGGGTACAGTTTAAAATACTGACATTAATCAGAATCACATTAGCTTCCTATTATTCTTGAGTTCTCTATTTTAAAAATATTTTTGCTGGACATAAATATAGCAATAGACTGAGAAGAAAGTTTGGACAGATGTGAATATATGGTTTTAAATTTAAATAAATGTTGAGGCAAATGGAAGGCAGTGAAAACATACAGGCCATGGAAACATATAGACCTGGCTTTAAAAGTAGGCTCTATTAAAAAAAGAAAAAGTGCCCAGCTGGAGTGGGTCAGTAGCTGAGCATTGACCTATGAACCAGGAAGTCATAGCTCGATCCCCGGTAGGGGATGTGCAGAAGGCAGCCAGTCAGTGACTCTCTCTCATCATTGATGTTTCTCTCTCTCTCTTCCTTTCCCTTAAATTAAAAAAAATTTTTTTTTTAAAAAGTGTGGCTGGTGTGGTCCAGTGGTTTAGTATTGACCCAGAAACCAAGAGGTCACGGTATGATTCCTGGTCAGGGCACATGCCTGGGTTGCAGGCTTAATCCTCAGTAGGGGGCTTACAGGTCGCAGCTGATCCATGTTTCTCTCTCATCAATGTTTCTCTCTCTCTATCCCTCTCCCTCTCTTAAAAACAAAAACCAAAAACCCAATAATAACATTTTTTTTTTTACAAGAAAAAAGAAACCTGTATAATTTTATTATCCAATGTCACTCCAATAAAAAAAGTAGGCTCTACGTCTGCTGGTATAAAGCTGGCCAGATTATTGTTCCCTCTATGCTTCCACTTCATTGTCTATAAAATGGGGACACTATCTACTTCATTAACCTATGAGCATTAAAAGATTTAAGATATTTATATACAATATGTCTTTAATAAGTATTGTCTTCTTCCCTTTCTTTTATAAGAGGTAGCAAAGTACACTAAAATGAGGAAGGATTTTAGAATCAGAATTGGGTTCATATTACAGCTCTGCCACTTATTAGGTAACTTTGGTCAAGTCAGTTAAACACTCTGAACCTCTGGTTCTTCATCTGTAAAAAAAAAAAATGTTGCCTGGCTGGCTCAGTGGTTGAGCATCAACCTATGATCCAGGAGATCGCTATTCGATTCCCAGTCAGCGCACATGCCTGGGTTGTGGGTTCAATCCCCAGCAAGGGGGGCATGCAGAAGGCAGGCAATCGGTGACACTCATCATTGCTGTTTCTCTCTCTCTCCCTTTCCCTTCCTCTGAAATCAATAACAATATATATTTTTTAAAAAGTGTTGTTCTAGTGAATATATGTAACAGATATGTGTATATACGTGTAGTATTGTTCTAATATATGTAATAGAACTGGGCATATGGTCCAATTAGTGATAGCTAATATGGTGGTGCTGATGTGTAGAGTAAAATACAAGAAGCTAATCATCACTCGTCGTCCTAACAGCAAAAACAAAACCCTGATACCAAACCTTGCACTTTTAAAGCCGATAAAATATATAAAGAATGAAGGTAGTTTCTTCTCTTGGAATACTTTCAAACATAGTATCAAGTTCATTTATTTATCAAACCACTGAGAAAATATGTATTTATCACTGAAATGTAAAGCTAAAAAGTTTTGGTTTGTGTGTTTTTTTTCTTCTTTTTTCAGATGCCCAAAGGTAAAATCTTGGTAAACTATACCTTTTTACTCTTTGGCAGTAGGCTAAGAGATCTTGGAAACTAAGATAGAAAATAACTCCAAAGGAGCAATTGCTTTATGTTAGAAGAAAACTTGTTTTACATACATTTTTCAGTTAACTGATTAAAGTTGATTATATGTTACAGAAAAAAATAATCTTGATCATCTGCTATTAGTGGAAAGCGCCTGCAGCTGTGATTCAAATACTGAGAGCAAGTTAATTCTCTCGTATCTGGTCCATTCTTTGATAAAAGGCATCGGTTTTACAGCTCCAAATGAACGAACCTAAATAAATTAACAAGCTAACGTGTTACATGTTCCTGAAACAAAATCCTGTACTTTGGCCTCAGTCAGCTTTAGTCACATTCATCTGACTTGGGGGTGGGGAGACAGAGCAAAACCATAGGAAACTAACCATTTTTTAATGTACCCACACTAGATAGAAACCACTGTGCTAGGTGTTTTACATAAAACTGTCATTTAATCTATAGGCTAACTCTGAAGTNGTTACCTGTTCCTGAAACAAAATCCTGTACTTTGGCCTCAGTCAGCTTTAGTCACATTCATCTGACTTGGGGGTGGGGAGACAGAGCAAAACCATAGGAAACTAACCATTTTTTAATGTACCCACACTAGANTACATGTTCCTGAAACAAAATCCTGTACTTTGGCCTCAGTCAGCTTTAGTCACATTCATCTGACTTGGGGGTGGGGAGACAGAGCAAAACCATAGGAAACTAACCATTTTTTAATGTACCCACACTAGATAGAAACCACTGTGCTAGGTGTTTTACATAAAACTGTCATTTAATCTATAGGCTAACTCTGAAGTAGTTCTTACTTGTAATTTGTAGATAAAGAAAATGACCGGCAAAGATAAATATCAGACCTAGATTTGTTTGAGTCTAGGACGTACAATCTTTCCACTAAAAAATACTTCTTACTAAAACTGCAAATAAATAGGAATCATAAATTGTAAAGCTTCACTTTTGGGAAATCATGAACATTTTATATCTTTCTAAAAGCAAAAGAAATTCTTTCGCAGCCAGTACTAAAATGTTAAATCTACCCTATGTAGCCAAATAATAATAAATAACAAACAAGAAAGGTGGTATAGCTGCATTAAGTCCAAAACATAGAAAGATGTAAGTGAAAAAGATGAAAATACTATTAACTTCACAAACCATTTTCCTATGATTAATCCTCAAGCTAATAATCTCAAAATTATACAGTTATAAAAAAGTGATTTTGTTTAATTCTTTGCTTTTTATCTCCAAAGAAAACAGATGTAACTTTCAGGGGGTAGGGTGGGTTAGAGGGATTATAAAGTTCAACTTTCTCTTAAAATATGAAAAGACATAAAATAAAAACAAAAAAGTAAAAGTAGTGCATTAAAAAGTATACCCATATTCAAATTATGTTCTTTGCCTATATCTTTAATAAATAAAACTTAATTCCATGTTATTGTTAACAACACATTGAATTTGAAAGTGAAAAACAAATATTCCACAAAATATACCTGGCTTAAGTATTGCTTTAATAACTTTACACTGGATCTGGGTGGGAAAACTTTTTAAAAAAATACTTTCAAAAATGTGAAGATCAGACTTGTACTTGGAAAACCATAAGACATTGAAGAAAGAAACTGAGGTCTTGGTCACTGTGGCTCAGTTGGTTAGAGCATCATCTGGTGCACCAAACAGTCATGCGTTTGGTGCTGGTCAGGCTGTGGGTTTGATACCAAGTTGCCCGGGGCGCATATGGAAGCAATCAACTGATGTTGTTCTCTCTCTCTAGAATCAAAATCTTTGGGTGAAGATTAAAAAAAAAGAAATTGAGGAAGACACAAATAAGTGGAAACATGTGCCTTGTTCATGAATTGGAAGTATTAACATCATTAAAATGTCCATACTACCCAAAGCAATTTATAAATTCAATACAATTCCTATTAAAATACCAATGGCATATTTCACAGATCTAGAAAAAATACTCCAAAAATTTATATGGGACCACAAAAGACCCCAGAATAGCCTCAGCAATCTTGAGAAAGAACAACAAAGTTGGAGGTATCAAATTACCGCTATCAAACTATACTACAAGGCCACTATAATCAAAACAGCCTGGTACCGGCATAAGAACACACATATAGATCAATGTAAGAAAACCAAGAGCCCAGAAATCAACCCATGTCTGTATGGTCAATTAATATTTGACAAAGGAGGAAAGAGCATACAATAAAGAGTTTCTTCAATAAATGGTGATGGGAAAATTGGAAAGGAATGTGCAAAAAAATGAAACTAGAACACCAACTTACACCATACACAAGAATAAACTCAAAATGGATAAAAGATTTAAATATAAGTCACAAGACCACAAAAATCCCAGAAGAGCCCTGGCCGGTGTGGCTCAGTTGGTGGGCATCGTCTGGTGCACCAAAAGGTTGCAGGTTCCATTCCTAGTCAGGACACATGCCCTGGTTGCAGGCTTGATCCCCAGGATACATGAAACAAACTGACAGAGGTCAAAGGGGAGGGGGATGGGGGGGAAGTAGATGAAAGAAAGTGATGAGATTAGCCAAAGAACATATATGCATAGCCCATGGACACAGACAACAGTGTGGTCTGGCCAGAAGTAGGGAGTATGGATGCTGATTGGAGGTAGGTAAAGGGGGAAATGGGGGACATCTGCAATAGTGTCAACAATAAAAAATTTTTAAATGTCAAGACCAGAACCCATCTTTGGCACAGAATAACCATATTACACTAATTTTTTTCATGTTTATAGTTGTTATATTAAAGCAGACATGACTTTTTATTTTAAACAGTTGTGTGATAAACCACATTATAATAGAATTCAATATTAATAATTCTACAATACTGGGTAGTCATGTGTTAGTCAAACACATTTCATTCAATGATTTCTATATATATTTAACCTCTTTCCTCCCTAATAATACATTGCTTTTAACAATCAAATGAATATTGGTAAGTTTTCAATATAACACAGAAAGTTACTCCTTTACTTGAGATGCTAGGTAAAGTTTCTCTTCTATCATTTAAATAGTAAGCAAATTAAATAGCACATAAACATATTGAATTGTTGGTCATATACAGATTCATTTCACTTTCTCAGAAAAGAATCTTGTCTGAATTTTAAAAATTAATTTTGAGCACTCACCGATTGCATGCTTACTCCAACTTGTTGAAAAACCATCCTAATTAGGCGCTTAATCCAGCCAAGCATTTAGATGGTAAAGTGTCTCCAAATTTGCATTTCAAGTACTTCAGGTGTACATAGCAGCACATGGTCCATAAAACACTAAAATTTTAAAATGCAAATATTAAAATGAAATATTTAGAATCTTTACTGTTTGCAACATGTCTCACAAAATTAGTCTAAAACATTTTAAACTGTCTAAATTTACTTGAGAGAGAACAAATTTTGCTTATAATCAACTCTGAGTAAACTAACAGTACAACTTTTTTAAGTATTTCTTTTTCCAATCAGGGTTCTTAGTTAGGAACAAAAACCTACTTTTGGCTAATTTTAGTAGGAAATATATTTATGAAAAGATATCTAGTAGATAACAATCTTACCAGAACCTGACTTACAGGCTACACAGCCAGGAAAGACATCCAAAAACTGCAGCAGAATTGATCCTGGAAAGACACCACTGCTACTGCCACCCCTGACCGAACAGAATCTACCAGGTCTGGCTTTTGTCTCACTTCCTCTTGAGTTGCTGTCTGTATGCATTTGCTTGGCTAAATCTACCTAGCTATAGTTATAAGAAGGTTTTGCCACCCACCAAAAATCATAAAGGCATTCCAGAAATATGGAAAAGGAATTCAGATGCTAGGAGGTAAAAAATGACAAAAGTCCTTTCACACTTATTCGAGCACTATAACCCCTGCCACTCATCACCCTGTCCCATATATATATATATATATATATATATATGAGAAAAAAAATCTCACTGATAAAGGCAAACACTTAGTAAAAGTGTATCAACCAATCATAAAGCTAGTAAGAAGGTTAAAAGACAATAGTAGTATAATCATGTGTAAATACAATAAATTAAGGGATACAGACACCCACACACAAAAGATATAAAATATGATGACAAAAATGAAAGGAGGGTGAGTAATAAATGTAGTGCTTTAAGAATGCATTCAAACTTAAGCAACCATCAACTTAAAATAGACTGCCAAAAACAAAGCTTGGTATATATGAATCTCACAGTAACCAGAAAACAGAAACCTACAACAGATATACAAAAAATAAAGAGAAAGGAATCCAAACAAACCACTATAGAAAGCCATCAATGTACAAGAGAGCAAAAGAAGAAAGAAAAAGAACACCACCAACCAGCAAACAATAAAATGACAATAACCATCCATAATTACTTTAAATGTAAATGGCCTAAATGCTCAAATTGTTATCGGAGACAGACAGTCACAGCACCTTCCCGGTGTTCCCCCAATTCGCCACGATGGCAGAGGGGGACATTCTTACACTAAGCACACCAAAAGCTAGAAAGATAAGTGGGCAGGACCCAAGCTTTCAGAAAACTAGACAGATGAATGGATAGGGCCAGAGCACACGGAAAGCTAGAAAGATAAATGAACAGGATCCCAGCATGCCAAAAGCTAGAAAGATCAATGGTCAGGACCCAAGTGCACCCAAATCTAGCAAGATAATTGGACAGGGAAAAAAGCCCTCTCCTCCCTATGCCTATCCCTATCCCTATCCCTTAATCCCGAATCCCTAATCCCTATCCCTATCAGACCCACCAGCTTGAGCAAGAAGGAGATGTGATCTTTAAGACGGAAGTCCACCATTCTCCCAGGTCGCAGGGCACCTGAATAAAACCTATTTCCTTTTGCGCCAGTACCGGCCTCATGATTTTGGCTTTTGTTGGCAGCAGGCAGCCAAACCTACGTTTCTTAGTTACGCAATCAAAATAAATATGGTGGCTGAATGAATTAAAAAAACAACACCTGTACATATGATGCCCACAAAAGACTCACTTCAGATTAAAAGACACACATACCAGTATTACATGAAATGTTAAAGGGTCTTCTTTAAGAAAAAGTGATACAAAATATGAATAATAAAATGGCAATAATTACATATCAAAAATTGAATCTAAAAAACAAAACAAACAAACAAGCAGAACAGAAACAGACTCACAGATAACAGAGAACATTTTTGATGGTTGCCAGATGGGAGGGAAGTTAAGGGGATTGGTGAAAAAGGTGAATGTAATTAAAATAAAAATTATAAGTAAATAAATAAAATGTCCATATTACCCAAAGCAATCTACAGATTCAAATGCAATCCCTATCAAAATATTAACAGCATTTTTCACAGAACTAAAATAATCCTGAAATTTATATGGAACCACAAAAGATCCCGAACAACCACAGCAGTCTTGAGAAAGAACAAAGTTGGAGGTATCACACTACCTGATATCCAACTATACAAGATCACAGTGACCAAAATAGCATGGTGCTAGCATAAAAACAGACATACAGATCAATAGAACAGAACAGAGAACCCAGAAATAAACCCATGCCTATGTGGTCTATTAATATTTGACAAAGGAGGCAAGAATATACAATGGGGTAAAGAGTATATTCAATAAAATTGGACAGGCAAATGTAAAAAATTAAACTAGACCACCTTCTTACACCATATACAAGAACAAACTCAAAATGGGTTAAAGACTTAAATATAAGACTTGAAACCATAAAACTGAGACAAACATAGGCAGTAAAATCGAGGGTGTTTCTCTTAGCAGTATTTTTTTCTGATGTATTTCCCCAGGTAAAGGAAACAGGAAAAAAAATGAAGAAATGGGGCTGCATCAAACTAAAGTTTTTGCACAGCAAAGGAAACCATCAACAAAATGAAAAGACAATTCCATCAAATCACAATGGTAATTACCTTTGTATGGGGGGGTATTAGCCAGAAGGGAGCATAAAGGAGTTTTCTAGAGTGCAAACAACTATTTCTTAACTTAGGTGGCATTACTTAAGTGTTTGTTTTGTGATAAGTTATTGTGCTATCCGTCTGTTTGTGCATTTTTCTGTTATACTTTGTGTGTTTTACCTCAAAACAAAAAAGGTTTAAAAAATATGGCTGCCCTGGCTGGTGTGCCTGGGTTGGAGCATAGTTCCATGCACCAAAAAGTGGCCAGTTCAATTCCCGGTCAGTTATTTAAAAACAAAACAAACATAGCTAAGGATGATCAAGCTGCATTTTGTTTCCTAGGTTCTCTAGGAATATACATGTAAGTACATGTGTATATATACAGACATATGTGTGTATATATAATTTTATATATATATCAAATTTAACTTCTGGAAATTTTATATTGGTATGGGCTTATAGTCTAGTCTACTCTGGCACAGACTATAAGAAACAGTAACAAATTACTTTTTGCGGAGAGCAGTACTTGGCAAGGCAGAAAACCAATACTAAATGAGAAATAGGTAAACTTTGAAAACAGACTTTCTTTTCACTCCACAAACACCTTGAAAATATATACTAGTATAGTTATACCAATTAAAGTTTAGAGCAATTAAATCAAAGATAATACAAAATACAGTAGTCCCCTCTTATCTATAGTTTTGCTTTCCACAGTTTGTTACCCACAGTCAACTGTGGTCCAAAAATATTAAATGGAAAATTCCAGAAATAAACAATTCGTAAGTTTTAAATCGTGCGCCATTCCTAGTATGACAAAATCTCACAGAGTTATTCCATCCGATTAGTCATATATCATCTCTTTGTCCAGTGTATCCGTGCTCTATACACTACCCACCAGACTGTCACGCTACAGTAGTGCTCATGTTCAAGTAACCCCTATAGTAGCCTAATGGGGACCACAATGCCTACATCATTCACCTTACGTCATCTTCATCTCCTTATGCATGCACTGTATCATCTTACAGCACAGGAAGGAGGGTGACTATAGTAAAATCTGGTATTTTGAGAGAGATTTCATATAACTTTTATTACAGTATATTGCTATAATTATTCTATTTTATTATTAGCTGTTTAATTTATAAATTAAACTTTATCATAGGTATATATGTATTGTAAAAAACATAGTACATATAAGGTTCAGTACTATATGTGGTTTCAGGCAACCACTGCAGGTCTTGGAACATAATCCGAGGATGAGGAGGAGCTACTACAATACTACTTACAACTAAAGCAACATATGTTTTTGAAGTAGTTAAAACAATTTAAATCAGTATAGTTTCAGAATAACTGTTAGCAGTAATAACAGTTGTCATTAAATTTAAAATGCCAAAAAATCTGCCCTGGCAGGTGTGGCTCAGTTGCTTGGAGCATCACCCCGTGCACCAAAGGGTTGTGGGTTCGATTTCTGGCCAGGGCACATACCCAGGTTTCCCATTCGATCCCTGGTCAGGACTCACACAAGAGGCAACAGATCAATGTATCTCTCTCTCCCCCTTCCTCTCTCTAAAATCAATAAAATAAAATTAAAATTAAAATGCCAAAACCTTTAAAAGCTACACTACATTGGGGATTATTTTAGAAGGTATTTGGGAACTATTCAAGGAAATGGTCATTTAACTATTTTCACAATGAGAGAGGAATAAGATCATTTTATAGGGGAGTCCAAGAAGATTAATGGAACATTCTTATTCAGCTGGCTAAATTATTAGAATAAAGTTTCCTCTTCTCAGAATAGTAAGAGGTTAGGTACACCATTATCAGTGAATCCCAAATGACAGTGTACATTCTGGTGTCAAACAATGAAAAAGAAAAATAAGAACCGTGAAGTAAAAACAAAAACTCAATTTAAAGTTACTGTAGTTTATTTTAAGAATATGTCCTTCCTACCTTTTTGATGTAAAAATGCCTTTCATTTTAGGATATGGGGACAGTACATTAATGTTACTTGATTTTGAAAATAATGTCCTTACTTGTCACAATGAAAAGTTATCAACCCTATGTAAACAATCTAAGCTACTTTCTGGAAATTCAACTTGAAATTCAAGTCTAGGGGCCACTGCTACGCTTCACATCAGTCTAGTCGAGACTTTAAGTCAGAACACTTTACCATAGTGTAAAACAATAATATAGTATTGAACCTATGGGTAAAATTTACTGGCAATAATTAAGTACACTGGTATAGTCTCCCACCAACAAGCAGAATCTGACATAGAATGACTTTTTTTTTCAGTACACCAAGGAGTAAATTTCATGACCTATGGTACATCTCTCAACAAAAATCTCTTTAGATAAGTCTAACAACACAAGCTAATTAAAATTTGATG